TGTAAAGTTAGGTTGTTTATTTGAGATTTTCTTGTCTTCTGAGGTAAGCTTCTATCTCCATAATCTTCCCTCTTAGAACTGCTTTTACTGAATTCCATAGGTTTTGGATCATCATGTTTTCATTTTCCTTTGTTTCTAGCTATTTTTTTGGTTTCTTCTTTGATTTCTCCAATGATCCATTGGTTATTTAGTAGCATATTGTTTAGCCTCCAAGGGTTTGTGTTTTTTGCAGTTTTTTTTATTGTAGTTGACTTCTAATCTCATAGCGCTGTGGTTGGGAAAGATGCTTGATATAGTTTCAGTTTTCTAAATTTACCAAGGCTTGCTTTGTGGCCCAGTATGTGATCTATCTTGGAGAACGTTCCATGCATACTTAACAAGAATATGTATTCTGCTGCTTTGAAATGGAATGCTCTATAAATATCAATTAAGTTCATCTGGTCTAATGTGTCACTTAAGACCCATGTTTCCTTATTGATTTTCTGTGTGGATGGTCTGTCCATTGATGTAACTGGTAAGGCCCCCTGCTATTATTGTTTTGCTGTCAATTTCCCCTTTTATGTCTATTAACAGTTGCCCGACATGTTGAGTTGCTCCTATGTTGGATGCATATATATTTACAATTGCTATATCTTCTTCTTGGCTAAGCCCTTGATCTTTATGTAGTGGCATTCTTTGTCTCTTGTAATAGTCTTTATCTTAAACTCTATTTTGTCTGATATACTCTGGGTTTTCTTTTGATTTCCATTCATGTGGAACACTTTTTTCCATCCCCTCACTTTCAGTCTGTGTCTCTGGTTCTGAAGTGAGTCTCTTGTAAGCAGCATATATATGGGTCTTCTTGTGAATATCCATTCAGCCAGTCTGTGTCTTTTGGTTGGAGCAGTTAATTCATTAATATGTTCTTATTGCCATTTTGTTATTTGTTTTGGATTTGTTTTTGTAGGTTTTTGGCTTCATTTCTTCTTCTGTTCCCCTCTCTTGTTGATTTGATGGCTATCTTTAGTGTTTTGTTTGGATCCCTTTTTCTTTTGTTTTGTATGTATATCTATTTTAGATTTTTGTTTTGCAGTTACAGTGAGGTTTTGGTTTAGTTTATGTATCTGCATGATAGTTTTACATTGCTGATCTCTTAATTTCAAATTTTAAATACCCTGCATTTGTACTCATCTCACAATGACTGGTTTTGATATCAAATTTTGTATCTGATTGTTTTGTGTATCCCTTAATTGCTTATTGTGGATACAGATAATTTTACAACTTTTGTCTTTTGACTTCCCTACTGGTTTGTGTGTGGGTGATTTCCCACCTTTACTGTATATTTGCTTTTACCAGTGAGCTTTTCCATTTCACAATTTTATTCTTTCTAGTTGTGGCCTTTTTCTTTCCCACCAACAGAAGTTCCTTTAGCATTTGTTGTAAAGCTGGTTTGGTGGTGCTGAATTCTTTTAGGTTTTGCTTTTCTGTAAAGCTTTTGGTTTTTCTATTGAATCTGAATGATAGCAATGCTGGGTACTGTATTCTTGGATGTAGGTTTTTCCCTTTCATCACTTTAAATATGCTGTGCCACTCCCTTCTGGCCTGCAGAGTTTCTGTTGAAAAATCAGCTGATAGCCTTATGGGAATTCCCTTGTGTGTTATTTGTTGCTTTTTCCCTTATTGATTTTAACATTTTCTCCTTATCTTTAACTCTTGTCAATTTGATGACTATGTGCTTTTGGGTTAATCCTGTATGGGAGTCTCTGTGCTTCCTGGACTTGAGTGACTGTTTCCTTTCCCAGCTATTATCTCTTCAAATGTTTTCTCAGGCCATTTCTCTCTTCTCCTTTTGGGACCCCTATAATATGAATGTCAATGTGCTTGATGTTGTCCCAGAGGTCTCAAACTGTTCTCATTTCTTTTCATTCTTTTTTTTTCTCTCTGTTAAGTGACAGTAGTTTCTACTACTCTGTCTTATAGCTCACTGATCCATTCTGCTTCATTTATTCTACCATTGATTCCTTCTACTGTATTTTTATTTCAGTAATTGTAATCTTCAACTCTGTTTGGTTGTTCTTTAGATTTTCTAACTCTCTGTTAAAAACTTGTAACTTCTCGCTTTGTGCATCCATTCTTCTCCTGAGTTCTTGGATCACCTTTACAATCATTACCCTGAACTCGTCCTCAAGTAGAATTACCTATCTCCACATCACTCAATTCTTCTGGGATTGTATCTCGTTCCTTTGTCTGGAACATATTCCTCTGCTTCCTCATTTTGTCTAATTTTTTATTTGTGTTTTTACATATGTGATGGGCTAGTTATGTTTCTAAACTTTTGGAGAAGTGGTCCTCTGTCAAGGATATGTCCTGTGTCCCAGCAGTACACTCTCTTCTCATCACCCAAGGGCCAGAGGCCAGCTGGTTCCAGGGCAGGGTCTGACCTGCATTTGCAGACTGTTTTCCACAGGCTATGGGATCAAAGTTTTCTTGCTTCTGATGTCTGCTCCCTGGTGGGTGAGGCTGGTCTGGAGACCTCTGCTGGCTTCCTGGTGGGAGGCGCTGGTGTTTGCCCACTGGTCGGGGGAGGTGGGTCCTGCCTCTCTGGTGGGTAGGGCCATTTCTGTGAGTATGTCTAGAGGCAGCTGTGGGCTCAGAAAGTCTTCAGGCATCCGGTCTGCTGACGGGTGGGCTGTGTTCCCACCCAGTTAGTTCTTTGGCCTGAGTTGTCCTAGCAGTGTTGCCTACAGGCTGTTGAGTGGGGCCAGGTCTTGGTGCTAATGATCCAAGCAAGAGATCAGCCTTGAGGAGGGTTCAGTTAGTTGAATACTCCCTGATACGTCTACTACCAGTTTTCATGTACCCAGGGTGAGCCATACCTGCCCCCCACCTCCCCAGGACGCCCTCCAAGATCAGCAGGTAGGTCTGGCTCAGGGTCTTATGAAGTTACTGTTTTTCCCTTGGTCCCAGTGGGATTGTGTGTGCATCCTTTAAGAGTGAAGTCTCTGTTTCCCCTAGTCCTGTAGGGTTCCTGCAATTAAGCACCACTGGCCATCAAAGCCAAATGCCCTGGGGGCACCTCTTCTGATGACGCCCCGCCCCCACCAGGCTGGGACCCCGAGGTGAGGCTCAGAGCTCTCTCTTTCAGGGGACAACGTCCACAGTGTAATTATTCTCCAGCTTGTCGGTTGCCCACCAGCGGGGCATGGGATTTGATTGTCTCATTGTGGCAGCTTCTTTATTCTTTAGAGGCAGAAGATCTTCTTTGTTAGGTGTTAGTCTTTTTTATAATTGTCTGTTCAGCAGTTCGTTGTGATTTTAGTATTTATGAGAGGAGGTGAGCTCAAGGTCCCTCTATTCCGACGTCCTGGCCCTAATCCCTAATGTCCTTTTTCTGCTCCAGAATTCCATCCAGGATGTTGCATTACATTTAGTTGTCCTGTCTCCTTAGTGTCCTCTTGGCCGTGACAGTTTCTCAGACTTTCTTTTTTTTTGATGACCTTGAGAGTTTTGAGTAGTGCTGGTCAGATATTTTGTAGAATGCCTCTCTGTTGGAATTTAGTGTTCTTTTTCTCATGGTAGGACTAGGGATACGGGTTTACAGGAGAAAAACTATAGAGATGAAATGTGATTGTTATCACATCATATCAAGGGTACATAGTATCAACAGGATTTATCACTGCTGATGTTGACCTTGGCTGCCTGGAGGAGGCAGTGTTTTCAGGTTTCTTCACTGTATAGTTACTCTGCTTGCCCCCTTTTCATGCTGGACTCTTTGGAAGCAAGTCACTGTGTGCAGCCCAGACTTAGGGAGTATGAGGTCATGCTCCACCTCCTCCAGAGTAGACGAGCTTCACAAATGATCTGAAATTCTTCTTCATGGGAAATTTCAGACAAGGTATTTTTAAGAGGAGGGAAAGGAGATTTGCATTAACTGAATGTGTCTTCGGGGCTGCTCCCTTTAATTGGGCTATCTAACTTAATTGTCGTCAGCCCCCTGGTGTAAGTGGCATTGTCTGAATGTTACAAAAAAGGAAGGTTGAGACTTAGAAATGAAAAAATAACCTGGTGGAAATTGTTGATAGCTGTCTGAATCAGATTACACATATATACTGCATCACTGAGTGTTAAGAAGGGAAAGTAGACAATCTGTAGTCACCCTCTAAGATGAAGACCGATTCCCTGTGAGAAGCAGTGTAATGCAGCAGTTTGGAGCCTGAGGTTCCACATGGAAAGGCGTGAGCTTAGGCTTTAACTCAGGTTCTTACTAGCTTTGTGACTTTGGGCAAATTACTTAACCACTCCAATCTTTAGAAGTCTTCCAAAATTTGGAATTTTTCCAATTTTCATATGAACAATGAGATCAGTAACTTCATAGGATTATTTTGAGGATTAAATGATTAATGTAAAGTCCTTGGTATACTTGGTAAGTACTCAAAGAATAACAACTGCTGCCATCATTAGCAATAATAACAATACCACACTTTTAAAAGTACATTGCATGTTATAATTTTAGAGGCATCAATTATTTTTAATTTCAAAAAAGTTTAATTGAAGGATATAGAGTCATTTTCATTCTTCAGTATTTCCATAAATCAGGAGTCTTTCTCGGGCATTTTCATGGTGCTTCAGATGAATGTGTGTGATATGAAATGTGTGGTTGGGGGCTCTCTCTTTGAGTGTGCTGTGTTAATGAGGTTAATTTCTGATTGGATACACTACATAAAAAACACATGCAAATGTTTAACTCCTCATCAAAAATGAAAACAAACTCAGTCTTGCAGAAAATGTTCTAAAGAAGATAGCCTGACTTGATAAATTACCCACTGAGCTAACATATACTTAGAAATAAGTATCATTTTATTATTTCAGTTTTTATATTTATCATTCTGAGAAAAGGCTAAGGAAAAATAAATATTGGAGACTTTTTTGTTGTTGTTTATGGAGAAGGGAATGATGTGCTTTTTGGGAACATAAATGAATTTTTATAATGATATTCTCCTTTATATTTGTTTTCATTTCAGTGTGAACAAAACACATTGCTCAATTCTCTATCCAATGGCAATTGTAATGGTGAGTTAGTTTTAAAAAAATAATCTAAGTGTTCTGACTTGAATGTAGATCAGAGAATGCAATCTTCTTCTCCACCTCCGTCTCTGCCTCCTACCTCTCTGTCCCTCCTCTCTCCTCCTCCGCTACCTCCTCCTTCTATCCTCCGCCTCCTCCTCCTCTCTCTCCCTTCCCTGCTCTGTCCTCCTCTTCTCTCTTTTTTCTCTCTTCCTCCTTCCTTCTCCCTTATCTCTCCTCCCCCTTCCTCCTTCTTCTCTTCTTCTTCTTCCTCCTCATCCTCCTACTCTCTTTTAAGAGTGAATTTAAGATGTATAAACTTGCAAATGTATAAACCTTTATTGTGAGGCGTTAAAAATACCTGAGACACTTAAATTAATGGTATTTATGTTAAAATGAAAATAAATGAAATATCCATTGATTAGAATGCACAATATTGAAAAGATGTCAGGTCTTGAATTTATCTATAGATATAAATTTAATCACAATTAAAATTTCAATAGGACATTTTAATGGCAATTGACAAGCTCATTCTAAATTTTGTACTGAAACTCAAGTGGCCAAGAATTGCAAGACTGTTGAAATATATGAACAAGAGGGAGAGCATATGTTCTTACTATGTATTGTGTATATAGCTGTGTTACGAAGCCCTAATACTCAGAGCAGCATGGTACCAATTCAGAGATAAATGAATAGATCAATAGGACAGAGTAGAGAATACAGAAGTAAGGACAATGCTTACATATATTGGTGTTTGATTTGTGACTAAAGTGACGCTTCAGAGTAGTGAGCAAAAGACGATGGGACAATCAATGATTGTCAATGATGGGACAATCATGCATTGCTAATGAATGAATTTAGACCTCGATCCCATACCATATCCCAAATCAATACCAGGTGGATCGACACGTCCTAGGAGTGGTAGACAAAATATAAATTTAGAATAGAAGACAGGAGAATTTATACAAGAAATGTAAAACATTAAGAATAAAGACACTGATTATTAAACTTCACTAGATAATGATGATGATTTACCAAAAGGCACTTATAAAGCATGAAAAAATAAGCCAGAGTAAAAGAAGATAGATGTGACATATAAATGGGCAAAGAATTACACTCTGCAGCATATCAAGGAATCAAAAAGGCAGATGACCTGTTAGGAAAATGGGCAAAGGTCATGAACAGGCATTTCACAAAAAGAGACATTTTCATATTTACCAATAAACATATGAGAATATGTTTGAATTCACTATGGTTATTCAAGATAATTATTGGGGAAATGTAGATTAATTCCACAATAAATAACACTACACATATATTTTATATATATGTATAGTGTTTATATATATATAATTGGTAAAATTTTAAAAGTCTGACAGTACCAAGGGTTGGTGAGGATATGGAGCAATAAGAAACCTGGTACAATGCTAGTGGAAGTGTAAACTATTACAACTGGACACAGATCATATTTCAAAGAAAAAAAGTAGCAGGTGTATATAGCTGTGGCATATTTATGCATCTGAATTTTTATTTGCTATATTTATTAGGTGGTCTACTTACACAATAATGGAAACTAGATGAGTCTTAGACATATAATTGGGCAAAAATAAAAAGACAAAGGGAAACATACTGTAAAATTAAAATTGCATTATGTAACCTTAGAAAAATAGGAAAAGCTGATGTATTGATTTTTGTACTTCTGAAGACAATCAAAAAGGGAATCTCTTAATATTTGTACCTGAAATCATTTACGGGACTGTCCATAGTAGCTTTGTTTATAAATCACCCAAATCCAGAACCATCTAAAATATCTATTAACAGTATAATCAGTAAAGAACATGTGGAATATATATGTATGTGTATATATATATATATACACACACATATAATAATAAACACTATATAATATATATTATTATAAATAAAATATTATAAATACTATGTAATATATCTATTTTATTACTTTATATAATGTATTCTAAATAAATGTAGAGTGTAGAATATGTTACTAAAATAAATATTACAAATATTTAGAATAGAATAGAATAAATGTTATATAAATATATGAATTTATTGCATGACCCACATCAACATGAATGCAGCTCAGCGTTAGCTTCTTTGGTCTTTTCCAGCTTCTTGGGGCAAGTTTACTTTCTCCTGCCTTGTGCTCGCAAGGAAAGCTTACATAATACTGGCGTAGTGCTTATTTAATGATTGTTTCTTGAGGGTCTTACTCGTCTGCTAATCTGGAAACTTCTAGAGGGTGTTCTCACCTCTGCATCACCAGCTCAGCCCACTCTGCACAGAGCAGGAGCTGATGGGTGTGGTCCCCTCTGCCGTGTCCTTGTGAAATCTTTGGCACCCAGTGGCCCTTCTGTAGGAGCCAGAACTAGTTGGCCAGTGTTTTCCTGGCATCCTCCTTCTCTGCCCTCTTCTGACACTCCGCAGTATCCTGGGTTCTCCCATCCTTCCCTCTCGTTCAGGATTGCCTTCCCGCTCTCACCTCCGTGTGCTCGCAGTGCTGAGGTTCTTGATTTCCTCTCTGAAATGACTAAAACGTGTAACTCTTGGCTTCACTGCCTTTACATTTTCACTTCTGTGACTCTGATTCTGTCCTTGACTGTATTCAAAAAGAATTAGTGTGGCTTTCGTATTGTTTTGTTTCCTAGTCTGAGACGTTCTTGGTCTTACTCCATGGATAGAAAACTCCCTGCATCCTGTGCGTGGATCAGACAGGACTGATCAGTCGAGGCACTTCCTCCTATGAGCCAAAGGAACCTGCAGATCTTCTACACGGGAGGCTGCAGCAAATGGGTGCCGTTCACACACAAGATCAGATGTAGTTGCCATCCAGCTTTATTCTAGTCCATGATGAAATGACAGATTAATCTTAAGTCACCTTTTTGAAAAAAACCAAACCCTCTTATGCTTAAAAGATTATAAAGATTCCCTTTGAAGGATCAAGTGCCCACTCCCCAGCGTGGCACCTAAAACCCTGCCTTATTTTCTCAAACTGATTTCTCTACACATTGCATGAGTTCTGTCTCCAAGTCAGATGAGTCAGTCCATGGCCCCTGCATCTAATTTAATCACCCCTGGTTCTGATCTTTTACTTTTATTCTCTCTTCTAGAACCATCTCCTTTTATTTCCCCCGCCAATCCAAATATTATACTTTCTTCAAGTTTTAATGGAGAAGTAAAGTACATTGAAGGGACACATTCCTTGGCAACCTCATTATGTAGAGAAGCCAACCAGCCAGATCCGTGTAGGGGGATGCACGGTCAAGGGCAGGCTGGAATCCGGCATCTCAGCGGCAAGGTGGAAACCACGGTGGCGTGGAAGACCGCCTCCACATGCTTCTCTCATCACATATCTCCTCACATGGTTACGAAGTTGTTTTATTTGTGCATTTATTTATTTGTTTGTTTCCTCCTAACTAGATTTTTCAAGGGAAAGAATGCATTTTTAATTCCCATTTCATTATCTTTCGTTATT